CTGAGTCAATACAGCAACATATGATTCTATGTGTGTAACACTTATAACACACACATGTAGAAATTCAGAAAGTTCAGAAAGTGAAAAGAAAATAGACATATCAAATCAACTTATGTAGAGATTACAACCATTAATTTTGGAGTATAGTTCCTTTTTTTTTTTTCCAGTACTAGGAATCAAACTCAAGACCTTGTGTTTGCTAGGCAGGCGCAGTGCCACTGAGCTACATCCCCAGCTCCAGCTTTTTAACTTTTTCTAAAGCAAAGTGGCTGTATGTGATGTTTATTACAATACTCTTGGGATAAAACTGCTCCTGGTACCTATTATGACTCTAAATAAATATTAATGAGTTATGCCGCCTGTCTGGCAAGCACAAGGTCCCAAGTTTGATCCTGGGTACCAAAAAAATATATATTAATGAGTTAATTACTGTCTTTTAGAATAAAAAAATATGTGGGTTCTGGTCCTGGCTCCACCACTTAGTCAACTTTGTGACTTTGGACAGATTAACCTAAGCTCTAGTTTTTCTATCTAAAGAATGCTCCTAAGAATAATATGAACCTCATGGAATTATTGTGAGGATCAAGTAGAATAACACAAATCAAGTTCTTGGCATGATACCAATATTATTCAATAAATAATAGCTTTATTATCATGCTTGATACGTATTTTCTTTACACAAAATTGGAATCATACCATTTCTTTTTGCCATCTTAATGCAATACTATAAAAAATTTCCTATGTAGTGATAGTTAAAAAGGAATAAAAGTTAGATCTAGATTCGAGTTCAAGTACTGACTATGCAACTTCTGACAAATATGTAACTTCTCTGTGCCTTAAATTTCTTTTCTTTTTTTTTTTTTGGTACCAGGGATCGAACTCAGGATCTTGAGCTTGTGAGGCAGGCGCCGGAACCACTGAGCTAAATCCCTGGCCCTGTGCCTTAAATTTCTTATCAGTGAAATGGAGTAAAAGCAAGAACTGTCTTTAGGATTGTTATGAATATTTAGGTAAATTTTTTAGCATATTTGAAATACGCTAAGAACACATCAAACATTGATTATTATCCAAAAACAGGCTCTTTTTTCTTTCTTTTTTTTTTTTTACTTTATAAAGTAATTCTCTATACACTGATGAGTTCTGTGAGTGGTATGTTTCATTTATAGCCATAAAATTTTAGGAGTCAGTTGACTGATGAAGTCTGCAAAATCAGATTGTTGAGAAGACAATTTAAAATGCATACATTTCATGTATCTCAAAGCAAAAACAGGATCTTAATGGCACCACAGTATCACATCATATAGGTGTTAAATATTTATGTTCTTATCAGTTGTTCACTATAGTAAATTTTTGGTCAATGTCTTTAGTTGTTTCCTTAAATTCTGGGGCTAAACTCATTAAGCTAGGGAACACTTTTTTTTCAAATAATATCTTTTTTTTTTTTTTTTTGGTACCGGGGATTGAACTCAGGACTTTGCGCTTGCGAGGCAGGCGGCAGCACCACTGAGCTAAATCCCCCGCCCTTCAAATAATATCTTAACCAGAAGGAACAATAAATAAGACCTATAAATAAGAGGGTGCTCAGAGACTGAACTGGGTGGAGAAAGAGGTAAGAAGCTACGCTAGCTTCTCCTTGGGTAAGTGACATGGCTCTCCTTACAGGAAAAACTGGACAATCACTGAGCAAAAAAACATCAATATTTTACTGGAATAAACAATGTGAGCGTGAATCTCTTTTCACAAAGATACTCAGAAGCTAAACATAAACAGTTCAGTTAGCTCAGTGTAATACAGATGACCAACAGATTTTAACGTCATAGCTGTAGTACTCAAGAAATAAGCCAGAATGTACATGAGCCCATTCCACAGGAAATGAAAACTTAGCTGTCATTATGTTTGCTTGATTTTCTATGCTTCCTTATTATACCAGCACTCCAAAAGTTAATCTATTCACAAGTGTAAGAGTTGAAGAAATGGCACTTCTATCGTAATTGGATTGGAAATGTTCCACACCAAATTTAAAGCTTCAGCAAAAGTTCCCAAAATGTAACCTCCATCCATGTGTAACTAGTTAAAGTAATGCCTCCATAATATCATTTATGTGAAATATCCACGAACTTTTCAATATTCAAATAAACCACAAAATCTTTAAACATTAGAGCTAAATAAAATTATGAATTTTTTTATTGAATATGTTCTATAACCAGATAGATAACCAGTTCAATAATAACATTCAGATTTGTAATGTTTTCTAAAAACAATCAAGTCTGCTAAACCCAAAACCTCAATAAAACAAAAAATTTGCCTTAGTTTTTGCCTTTCTAAAAATGTTTTTTGAAATTTTGAAGTATTTAAAACATATGAATTACAAACATAAATAATATGGTAGAAAAATAACGATGTAAAGTATAAAATATATCCTACACTTCTCAGACTCTATCAGGGTATAATATTCTGTGTTGAAAGTATTAAGTTTGCAACCGCAGCTCACTTCTAAACAGGTGTCCAGGAGAATGTCACTTGATCTAATGCCTCTTTGCTTTGGTGAGCAAGACTGACACCGAAGCTAGGACCTGGAATTATACTGTGACTAGGGCTCCGCACTGACCACAATTTATTCAAGCTGCCTAAATATTTGAAGCACCAGGCAAATACGTTGTGTTAATTATTGTTACATAATCTTGACATGAACTAATCCTCATTTCTATTAACTTCCTTAGTAAATGAATCTTTAATGTGCAAACAACAGTGTTGGATATTACAGATCAATATAAAATTTAACAGATGAAGGAGCAGTAACAGACAGTCACTTGTAAATATATAGAGCATAATATACACTTATTTCATAAGGCAAGATGTCTGTGCATTAAAATTTCATCCTGGACTAGCATTGAAATTAGAACCAAGTCATGCAGAAGTGGTGAATAATCTTCATATTTTCTCCATACTTTCAGAAGTGCTGGTAGTGCTGATTGTAATATGTCACAGAATTTGATAATCAGCATCAATCAGCAGGTGATAAAGTGTGACATTTTGTTAAATCATCCAGTAATTATTTGCTTACAAAAACACACAAATAAAAGCAGTGACTTCTCTTTCCAGGAAAAGTGTTTTGATTCAGAATATAATATCTGTAAACACCAGTGTAGGTAGCCAAAGCACTATAACTTATAGAAACCATCTAAAAGTCAGAGTTTATTGGGATAAGGCAGCACCATACTACGTTTCGTATCAGTTTATTTCTGTAAGATAGGAACCACAGAGGTTCACTTAGAAAAGTGATGAACTAAACTGCCTGAGCTATGACTAGGCTTTGAGACATAGTCTGTTTGGTTAGACATTTATATTGAGCGTTCTGTGCTGGATAGTATGCTAGACTTTGGAAAGACTTTGTCCCTTCTCATGACCACTGTTGTGACTACCATTGCTACTGGCTTATTCTTATTAAGCAGGTATTCACTCTGAAAAATACAATTTCAAAATTGTATAAGGGTGAAAAATAAATTTGTAAGATATCATAATTCCATTTATGTAAAATAATATCCATCCTGTTTATGTATATGTTTCAAAAGTCTGAACTAAAACACTAATAATGGTTATTCTGGGAGGTGAGATTATGCATAATTTTTTTTTGCTTTTTGTTTTTCTCTATTATTAAAATGTTACAGTGAACACCACCTTAATGCTAAGAACTATTCTGTTTTTAATCTTGTACTGTATGGTATCTTCTTGATATGTTGTTTATTAGGTTAGGAAGGGGAATATTAGTTATATTCTTAAAGCATGAGGCTTCATGGATTCTGTTTTAAAGTACTACAGAGAAATATTATGCTAAGCAATATTTACATAATAGAGGAAAAAAAATGTACATCTTAACCTTATTCAACTTTAAAGAAGCCATTGCTTCAACTGTTTCAAAATAGGATAAAGTGAAAACAGTACAGCATGTCAGCAATCATTTCAAACATTTATTGTTACTACCAACAAGGCAACTCATGAAGAGGCAACAAGGTCCTTCTGTAGCAATACCTGCAGTTAGCATTCATACTACACCTCATAACATTTTAAAAGTCAATTACCAAAAATGTTTGGAGATTTAATAGGTTTCAGCATAGTAAACTCAAGATCTATCTGTATTTTTTTTCCTTCTTGGGAGTTTAAGATACAATAAATAGATCTGGACAAAAATATTTTAAAGAAGCAGATTATGACCTAATTTTCTTTCTCTGTCTCTCTATCTCTGTCTCTCAGTCTGGGTTTTGGGAGCTGAACCCGGCCGGGGCCTTTGTACTGAGCTGTAGCCCCAGTCTTTTTAATTTTTTGATACAGGGTCTTGGCTAAATCACCAGGGTGGGCTTGAACTTGCAATTCTTCTGCTTCAGCCTTCTACAGTCTAATCTAAAATTTTAAGTATTTATGAATAGATCTGAAGGTAATTAATAGTTTTCAATGATTAGGTATTTGAAAAACCAACTTTCTTTTCTTGGGAGCTCAAAGCTCTTTATCTTATATTGCTATTTTTATTTTTTATTTTTACTTATTTATTTATTTTTCGTACTGGGGATGGAACTCGGGTCCTTGCGCTTGTGCAGCAGGTGGCGAAACCATTGAGCTAAATCCCCAGCCCTATATTGCTATTTTTAAAAAATCTAAATGTAAGTTCTCATTTTTATAATTTGTAAAATAATGAAGTGGACAGGAATAATCTTTAGGGTCCCTTTAAGTCTTAAGATTGTACTATTCTCTGAAGGGCCACATTAATCACTATTTTTCTTTAGTTCTAAAAGGAATTAATAATGCCTGTAATGGCTGTTTTTAGTTTTATTTTCATAGAGCCCATAATTACTTTTCATTAAAACAGATTCTAAATATATTTATCCACTGCAGTACAATTCCATAGAATTATGATAAGAATATTTTCCCAATAAAGTTGCAAATGTTATAGAATATTTAAAAAACCTAACATCGGTATTAAGTATTTCAAAAAATAAATAACTGACCTGATGACCTGGTTACAGTGGGCACACATTGGAGTTCGTTTTCCTGCTGGGATGTGCTCCGCTCTTTGCACCAAACTATCCTGGTCACTTGGCTGGGGCTGGCCTACAACCGAGCTCACTGGTGCCCCTGCTCCCGAGGAAGTTGCACTGTTTGACATTTGCCCAGTAGAAGGTGCTGGAATTTAAACCCAGAAAAAGCACAGGGAGAATAAGTCAAGTAGATGATTTAAAAATAACCTATCTATTTACTCATTTGTTCATGTGTATGGTAAAGTTATGACCCAAACAATAAACTGTCATTACACAGAAGAACAGAAGAGAATATCAAAGACTACAATACAGTGCAAGAGTTATGACAGGTATATGCATTGGATGCTTCCTCCACTTCCAAGAAAAAACAAGGTTAATGAATACCAATGGTGATGCTTTTTAGTTATCTAGACATCTCTGCCAACTATTTATTAGATTTAATTCCAAATACATCAGAGACACATTAAAAATCTCAATGTGTGGGAGATAAAAACAAATTCCTTATATTCTATCTTTCAATTTGTATTCTCTAAAATTGTGCAGACTGCTATCCAGGCATATAAAGTACCAATCTAGAATCATCCTTGTTCCTTCCCCTCTCTTATCTTTGATAATAACACACTGTGCTGACTTCAGATCATGGATGGTTCTTGATTTTGTCCCTCTCCTCCATTCCCACAATACTGTCCCAGTTTATGTGTCCTGTGCCTTCCACCAGGACTAGCTGCCAAAATGTCTTATTTTCTTTAAATTCATCCTTCCAACTGCCACCTAAGGCTGATGTCTCACCCAACCACAACTCTGAGTGAAGTCTTTCAAGGGACTCCGTGTCCTGTGATTAGCCAGTGCTGTTCATGCCTCCAAGGGACTGCACACCAGCCCATCCAGAGGTCCCTTCCTGCTCCCCAGCCTCATCTTTCAGCACTCTGCCTTTCACTTGATGTTACAGTAACATCCAAGTGTCACACGTTTTCTTGAGAATGGGTCCATCTTTGTACAGGCTGCCTTTGCTCTCAGTTATCTAATTTTTCCACCCTTCTACCTCTTTACACAGTATTCACTATTTAAGGTTTAGCTCAGAAGTCAACAGTTTCAAAATCTCTCCTATAGCTACCTCTACCCATGGCCCTTCCACATAATCCAGATCATATGTCTCTAACCCATGTCTCCATAGGAGAGTGTTAATCCTGACATGTCCATGTCGCTGGTGTAAGAAATGCTCAGCAGATTAGTGAAGCATGTTCCTGGGTGTGTCTGGGTGGGTCATGGGAGCATGGCCTTGGGTGCTATACACATGGCCCTTGCCTATTCCTCCCTGGCACTGTCCCCTGCTCTGCTTTCCAGCCACCAGGAACTAAGCAGTTCTGCTCCACCATATCCTTCCACCCGGAGGTCTCTGCTTTGGAGCCTGTTGATCATTACTGACTCCTAAGTTATGGGTGCTGGCACTGTGCCTCAGTGATGGGAAAGCTGGCTAATATATCACACTTTTGGAATGTCTTTATTACTGATTCTATTACACACTTTTGTCTTTTCCTCCCCAGCTAGTGAGTATGCTCCCAAGAATTATGTCTTATTCATCACCCTCACAATTAATACAGTGTCTGAAAAGAATGAATGGGCTAAAAGCAACAAATAACTGAGCACAAAAACCACAAGACTGGAACCAACAAAAGACCTTCTTACCCACAGGAAATTAAAATCTAATTGAAGAGAAAAAGCACACATTAAAATGGTCTAAAAGGAACAACTTATGAAAATCAAATAATAACAGTGTGTACATATAAGTCGCAACTCTACATACAAACATATGTTGACAGTATCTATATTAAAGGCATGGATAGAACTGGATAAAATTAATTAAGACAACCTTAATGACAATTCTTTACCATAAGAATAAAGCCTGTCTGCATGATGTGAACTGTGGATCCAGAACCCTGCATTTAGAGACACTTAGCACATCTCTTACTATGCTATGTCTGGCACTTGATCTGTGAAATGGCCTTTGCTGGTCAGGGAGCTCTACTACTGCCCATGTTTCAAGTTGAATCCTCCAGACTAGGAACATGTTTCCCTTCTCTTAGATTCACACTTTCTCTTACAGAAATGGAAAGAAAATTACTGTAGATTTCAGTTTGCACAGCTTCTTCCGTATTATTTTGTTCACTCTTACAGTACCACCTTCCTCTCTGCTTCTGCATCTCCTGGCCCCAGCTTGTATCTCTTAGAGCACCAGACAAGCATTTTCAAGAACATTTTCAACACCAAATCCAGTTATCATTTTTACACACAAGACAAGTGAAGTGGATTTCTCCTTGTGGTGCACACTGCCAGCTCTTCTGAAGAACTCCCATTACTTTGAATCCTTTACCTCAGGCAGGCATGGCATTCTGCTTCTTGTGTCCCTGTGTGCCCGATGCTCCACACCAGACCCTAGCAACATTTTCACAGTGAATACTTTCAAACTGGTCCTTCCTAGTACAAACCCACATTCTATCATTTGAGTTCTGATCCTGGGTTCCTCAGGTCTGGACTCCTACAAATTCCTAGCTACTCTCTCTGGTGCCAGGGTCTTTTCCACCTACAATTCTACAGATTACTTTTTCAAAATCATGACTGTGATAGGATGCTCCTGCTTACAAAGCTTCTGTAACTCCTCAGCGCATGCTGTAAGCGTCCTGACCATCCAGCCCAGCAGAGGCTGCTCCAATGCTTCCCTACATATCTGCACCATCATCATGCTCACTTTGCTTATTTGCTATTTAACTTATACAATCACTATTTGAAGGCACTATTCTCAAATTCCTACAACAGCACTATAACTTTGGTATGATTAAGAGCACTTTTTTACTTTGTGAGAAATTGGGGTTAAGAAAGATTAAGAAACCTGCCAAGGTCACAAAGCAAGAAAAAGGCAGTCCTGAACCTGGGTAGTCTGGCTTCTGAGTCTGTGTTTTAGATACCACCCTGTATTTTACTCATTGTCTCTTGAGTGTGCCAGGCCAGACCCTGCTTCTATGACCTCAGCAAAGGAAATGTTCCTTTCTCCACCGCCAGCCACCAATTTCCAGTTCTGCAAGGCTCACAGAAGTTCCATTTTCATCTCCAAACCCTTCTCTGATCATCAGAGTCAGAAGTGTTTTCTTGCTCCCTTCACCTCTATTAACGTCCTATGCCAGCTAGCTATGCCTACTTGTGACCAAGAGCTGGTAAGGACCCCCTGGGCATGCCCACCAGCTGCCTGAGGAGCCGCGCTGGCGCCTACAACAACAGAGCCCCACACCCGCCCACTGCCGCCTTCAGCCTCTTGGCTGTTCAGCTACCTGGTTGTACACTACAGAGGCACAGGGGGTCATGAAGGCCATTGTCCTGAGCTACAGACGTGAACAACACAGAGAGGGCCTCTCTCAGGCTCCCTGATGATAACTGAAGACCACTGGAAAAGTGAAGAGAATCTCTGCAATAAAGGCACACCAGACCACCATACTTGGTAAGTTAGAGGGATCATCACCTCCCATCGGAACCTGGACTATCTTCAGGGGAAAGGCAGCTGGAAGCTGCAATAGAAACTTGCACAGTTCAACCATGCAGGAGGACAGGGAGCTCAACTTGGGTCTTGCAGCCAGAAATCTGCCTGAATCTCACAGGTCTGTGACTGGCTTACTGAGACTCATTGACTTATACCTGAACACTGCTGCCCACATTGTCTATTTTGACAGAAGAGACATATACCCTGAAGGAATCCCTTCAATTTTATCTTTTATTTGTTATTTTTAAAATTACCATTATTTTTTTTTGCTCTTATTTTTAATTTTTTTCCTTCTTTTTCTACTCTTTTAAAATTTTTTTCTCTTTTTTCTTTCTTTATTCTTTTCTTTCTCTCTCTCTCCCTTGCTGTCCAACATTGTTCTTCATATCCCTTTGTGTTCCTGTTCTGGCCCTAATTCGGATTTCTTCTTTACTTTTCTTTTCTTCTCTTTCCTTCTCTCATCTGTACCCTCTGGCCTCACTGTTAACCTTCCCCTATCTTTCTACCTACCTATCCCTCCCTTCCCAACTCCTTCTAACTCCCCATCCCAAAGGGTAAAGTTGCTATATTGAAGAGTTTATTCACTATAAACATATGTTGGGGTTGGTCCTTGATATTGATTTAATTCACACAGTTAAAGGTGATAGATTAACAACTACCACAAACTGTCATTTTCTAAGAGGTATTTGATGCTATTGTGTTGCTAACTGTATCACTTGGGCTAAGGTGTTGTGATCGATCTAATCAGTTCTTCTTCCTGGTATAATGAAAATGAGATAGCCACAGAGCCATTAGAGACTCAAAACCTAAGGAACAGCTACATCTGGAAAACACCTCTGAGAAGCAATCATTCCATAAGGGTTCTAAATACATCAACAAAGATACTTACAATAAACAACTTCAAAGTATCAACCCAGGAACTAAACCGAGGACAGGGCCAAAAACAAAAGTGAGAAGACATTTAAGCAAGGCACAAACTCAGACTTCCACACCACAAAAGGCAAACTCTGGGGAAAATGAGGTGCAAAAGTCTGATAATCAACCACCAAGACACCCTGAACTGATAGCACAGGAAGTAACAAAACAGATGAATGAGGTTCTAGAAAAATTCAAAGCAAAAATAATCTCCCAGATAACTATAGAGATGGTGAGCAGAGTGAAAGACATGATTACAGGCTCTAGAACAGAAACTGATAAAAAAAAAT